ATGCTGCCGTTATCTGAGTTGATGTAAACATAAGAGGAGACAGAAACGTCCTGCACCTTAGAGTCCAGGATAGAGTAAGAGATCTTAGCGTTTTCACCAAAATCCAGGTCAGATGCTGATACTGAGAACAGTATAGAACCTGGTACTCCGTTCTCTTTTAAATACACATTATATGAGGGCTGAGTGAATACAGGTGGATTGTCATTCACATCAGTGACACTGACAGGTACAATTTTGCTACTAGACAGTGGAGGAGAGCCCGAATCAGTGGCTGTTATTTCAACATTATACTCGGAGAACCTTTCTCTGTCTAACGGACCGCTTGTAACCAGTGCGTAATTATTTGAGAAAGAAGGTTTTAAAGTAAAGGGGGAACCTTTGGGAAGCTGTAACGTCACTTTCCCATTATTACCGGAGTCAAGGTCACGGACACTGAGTAATGCCACCACTGTCCCACTGCGAGAGTCTTCAGGCACAGAAGTTGATTTTGAAGTGAGAACAATTTCTGGGGCGTTATCATTAACGTCTAAAACATCCACCTGCACACTGCAGCGGCCTTCCATTTTAGGCAGCCCTTTATCTTTTGCACTAATGTCTATGCGATATGAGGTTTGAGTTTCATAATTTAATTGTTGTTTCAAATATATATCTCCAGTGACAGGGTCTATATGAAATAATGCCAACACCGATGGAGGTGTGTGCACTCCAAGTGAGTACTCAATTTCTCCGTTTGGACCCTCATCTGTGTCTGTTGCTTTTGTTGCAATTACAAAGGAGCCGTTTGCGCTGTTTTCTTTAATGGCAATTTTATAAAAGCTATTTTCGAACGATGGGACATTATCATTAAAATCAAGGACCGTTATAGTTATTTTTGAAGTTCCTGTCTTTACAGGATTGCCTCCGTCCATAGCAGTAAGGATTAAATTGTGAATTGCCTTTTTCTCGCGATCCAATGATTTATTTAAAACTAATTCTGGTATTTTTCTTCCATTTTCAATTTCTTTTATTTTTAAAGTAAAGCAATCGTCTTTGCTTAGTGTGTATGTCCTTAGTCCGTTATTTCCAACATCGGGATCTTCTGCCATCTCTAAAGGAAAACGTGCACCTACAACAGTGGATTCAGCAATTTCTATGACATGGTCGCTTTTGAGAAAACTGGGAGCGTTATCATTTATGTCTCTTATTTCCACTTCTATGCGGTGTAGCTGTAGCGGGTTCTCTATAACGACCTGCAGAGGTAGAACACAGCTGGCGCTTTGTGCGCATAAAGCCTCTCTGTCTATTCTGTCATTCACCACCAGCTCGCCCTTCCCCGCATCCACACTGAAATACTGCTTACCAGCCTCAGAGGCGACATGGAGCTTACGGTCAAAAATATCTGATAGTCCCAAACCCAGATCTTTGGCTAAATTTCCAACCAGAGAGCCTCGTTCCAACTCCTCCGGGATGCTGTAACGAGTCTGTCCGTCTATTGTAATCCATAAGAGTAAGAAATAATGCCACCAAAGAGCCTGCCATCTCCAGTCTCGGTATCCCATTCTCTTTGTCATCCCCGGTCCGTTACAGTGCAGCGTTATTTCCCATCAAAATATTGTTTAGAATCAAGAGATGAACGTAGAAATCCATCACTGACGAACTTGCTGTATGCCAAAGATATCCATATTTATACATCATGAGATGTAAATTTAAGGTATAATATTTAATCCGACTGTTTACACGCACCCTCCTCTCTTCTCGGGCTCGAAGCAGTGTACTGGCTACAGTGGTGAGGATGGATGGGGGAGGGAGTAGATCTCTTTGTACAACTCGCTGTGCTATTGGTGCAGAACAGCGACTACACCTCCAATGAAATCAGACAGACGTGTACCACAGCCAACAGTGCAATTCAGAAATATTGGAAATGGCACAAAAATGTGATTGCCAATGAGTAAAATATAAAATACAAAACTTTTTTACTAACAATAAATATATTTTTCATCTTTATGTTAATGGATGCCATGATGACAATTCTTGCAATTTTATCGAGACTGCAATTTCTAATTAGATTAACATGAATTTCCTAAGTTGTCTAAAAATGACATTTAAACTGTAATTATCAAAACTAAATGACACTTTCAACACATGAGGAGATTTAGTGTTTAGGTCACAATATGACTCTTATGCTTTACTGAAAAGTGATGTCCTTGCCTCTTTTTCATTGGTGTTTTAAACAATTATGTAGTAAGATATCAGGCGCTGTGATTTACCCCACATCAGAAAAGTAAGTAGATATAACTCAGCATACATGCAGCATACAATATGACAGTCGTGATGCTAAAATATGTCAGAATCCTACACACGGGCTTCCATCTTCACAGTAAGTTACCGCTGCATTTTCTCAGTCGTATTTGTTTTGATGCTTAGCCAGCTGTTTCTTAAAATATGTGTGTACTACAGAAATATTGTTCTGATGCACGTGTGAAGAAATACATGGCTATGACTCAACATGTCAGTGAACGGCGTTTCGTTCTGTTATACAATGCAGCCTAAAAATAATCACAAAATACAAACGCTTTATTTATGCACCTTATGAATTCAAATGCTTTTAAGGTAAAAAGGCAACACAACATGCCGAAATGAAAATAATCTTAGTGAGTTATACA